CTTAAAGCGAACACTCAAATTTCGGTAATATATAAAAGTGCACTCTAACCATGCGAGTATATCGATCGCTATCTGTATTCTAATGAATGAATTGTTAAACGAAAGACAATCCCAATTTTTAAAAGTTTAATGGTAAATTATATGTAACCATTAAAAATAATTACACCTAAGGACATTAACGAAAAAAAAATCAACGTAAGCATCACTTAACCTAATATCAATAGATGGCGCTACGTTCGTTTAGGTTATTTCTTATACAGCAAGAATCTTTTAGAGATAGATGGTATTAAATTTAGTGTAATAATATTAAGTTATATAATATTCAATGTGTATTACTCTTTGTATTAGTATGTACATTTATTCTGGAATTGAACTTACTACTACTAATAATAATAAACATTAATAGCTATTAATAAGTTTTAAAGTTACAAATTCTATACGTGTGAATAGTTTTGGTGTTTGTTTTTTTCACAGATGTTGATATATATACTTTTCTTTATACTGTGAGGTATGCTGATTTACATTACTACAGAACATATTTATAACCGTCATGACCAATAATTCATATCTGACTTTCTCAAAAAGCATTATTCTTCGGGTGTATTCTTATAAGTTCATAACGTTATACAGAAATTGTGTACGTTATATTAAAACAATTTTGAAGCTCCAATACGTCTTTACAGTCCATGTCGCTAAATTCAGGTATTCTATGTGTGATATCGGAATATCTTAAATATAGCCCTACAGCGTAGCTTCTGTTGTAAAAAGCTGTCATATCCGAAGCACACCCCTCTTCCTTGAGGTTTTTCATCAGCCATCCAATGTATGAGGACGATGATTACCCAGCGCTCATTTCAACAATTTGATCTTACAGGAATCCATAAGCAAATTGAACGGTATGGCTTCGTATGGATACTCAGTTCACTTTCTAGTTACTTTGGTATACGCAGAATGAATGGACAGGTTGTGAAAGCAACTTGTACAAATGGCTTGTTCTACTTTTCTAGATGGAGATCCTTCTTGATTATATTTGTACTGTTGCTTGGGAAATCTGGAGATATTTTGCTACTGACATTTATATGTGTGGGTTCTAGCCTGTTACAAGACGCTATAATTGCTTACCACAGTTCTGGCACGACGTTTTGCGGATATCTTTCTAGATGGTCCTGGTGCCCGAAGTTTGATTCACATTCCTTTGTTTTCTAATGCTTTTAAGTACAAGGGATATCCCTTACTTGAAATTTCTATATGCAAGAGATGAACAACATCTTTATGATTTGAGTGTATGAACACTTTGCGTTGCAAAAGTCTATTACATACCCTTCCTAATTTTCGGTAACATCACCGTAGCTACCTAACGTGAAATAATGTCAAAATATATTTCTGATACGATCTGTTCTACCCCGGCTTTATATAGGCTACGGTTGAAACGTGACTTGCCAATTTTCATATTCAAAATCGTTTTAATGTAATGTACGTAACCCTCTGTAAATAAGATTCTGTCACGATTTTTGTTAAATAATAAGCTTACAAACTTTTTGAAACAGAATATGATATTTGTAAAGTGAGAACAGAAATATCACTTGATTTGAGTGAATCTCGCTAACATCTAATCAAACTTATCTGAATTATTATTTTCTCAATATTATACAAAATTTATTTTAAAGTCATTTTGTGTGTCTTAGTTATCATTCTTCATTGCACTTTTTCTTGATTACATTTTTTAGTCCCAAAGAAAAAATATAACAATTCAAATATTTGTAGCCATAAAATAAGTTATTTATAACTTAAAAACTATCTATAAATGCCAGTTTTGAACTACAGGTGGGCCTAGTGGTTAGCGTGCCTTCCAAAAATTAAGTAAAATAATCAAAATATTTCTAGCTACAAAAAAAGGTTATTTATAATTTGAAATTATTTCCGATTTTGAACTACGGGTGAAACTAGTGGCCGACGTACCCGGATGCAGATCAAAAGTCCCAGATTTTAGCCCTTGATATGCCGCTTCAGATATTCTACATTTTCAGTTGTGTGAGTGTTATAAAATTACTATTAATCCCACTATTTGGTTAAGTGTAGGGTGTAGACGATAAGTAACGCTGACCAGTTGCCATTTCCCTGGTCAGCAGTTCTAAATTAGTGTCGTATAAAGTACTGCTCAGGTTGAAATTACAAAACACCGTATCTGAACTACAGGTAAATTGATCAAAAATCACGTTGGAATGTTACGACAGTTGCTCTAATAAATGAACATAGTTACGTATATTTTTTTAAGGTTAGAGTGACGTAAACATTATAAGAATTCATTTACTAACACAAATCATAGTTTTTTATACAGTAATTGAATTTTAAGCGCAAGTATAAACATTTCTAGATGTTTAACAAATCAACGTAAAATACTGCAACAGGCTGAATGAAGCACGACCTTCGAAAATCAGTTAATATGAAGCACTTTCTATCTGGTATAATTGTACGAACAATTAGAGGTGTAGGTTTGATTTTGGTTGTTGTTGAGCACAATGCTACATCATGAGCTATTTGTGCTTTGCCCACGAGGGGTATCTAAACCCGATTATTAGCTTCGTAAGCCCGTAGACTTAGTACTGAGCCACTGGACGGGTGACAAAGGTATGGAAAGAAATGTTAAACCATCATATGATCTGCACAAGTACAGAGACTGATCTGTAGTACAATTAGTAATCTTTAAGTTTGAGATTCAAGGATTTCCTAATTTTACACAAAAGAGAATTAGAGGACACCAGGGAATACCTTTCACTACTTATACTGCATATATAAATGGCATTTCAGATAAACTTTCGTCTCTCATCGTCCAGCCTTGTTGATAAGTTCTGGTATTGAATGAAAGTACTCCAGGACAGTAACATGTGGAATAGAAAAAAATAGATCTGATATACTATTTTTGCACACTTGTAATTTCAAATGTGAAATAGACAATTTAATAGAAATGTGTGAGAAAAAATGTGTTTTTTAGGTGATTTTTATCACAGATATTATACCTACTAGTTTACATTGTTTTTCCAACTTTCGTGGTTTATACTATAATGAAGATATGGCTTGTTTGTTTGGCTTAGAATTTTCACACAACAAAAGGCTATTTGTACATAACCATCCATAATTTTGAACTGAAAGATTAGAGGGAAAGTAATTAGTTAACAGCACCCGCTGCCAACTTTTATGTTGCTCTTGTCTAACTGAATAGTGCTATGAAAGATTTGACCGTCACTCTTATAACACACCGACTGTTTTGACGACAACAGGCCACGAACCATGAACATCTTTCAGATTCACAGTTCAAACTTGATAATCTCTAGCACACGCTTCAACCCCATAAGGGAGTAATTTTCAAAGTTTAATAATAATTGTTCATTATATTGTACAAAGGCGTCGCTAGACACTGGCACACAGATCCCGTGCTCTGATTCTGTTTGACAGTGCCCCGAATCCGCAGTTATTCCCGAATAACACAAAAGTAATTAGAATATTTAAAAGAAATTAACAAGAACATTTATATTCTTAGTTACAGTAATTTAGAATCAAAGCTAAAAAGTATTATTAAGCAAGCCAAATACTAATTATATGCAGAATAGAAAACCATGATCGATATCATACTGAAACACCAAAAATTCCCTAGCGACGCCTCTGGTAATGTATTTGTTATATATCAGTGTATCTTAACGTACATGAAATTAAATGGATTTATTTTGTTTTACTAATTCTGTTGAAAGGATTTTTCAGTTGTACTGCTGTTATGTTACCTGTATAATTACCGCTTTTCGAGCTTACGTTCAGATTTACGACTAATTTTTATTGGTGTCCTCTGCTGGAAATCAATGGTTTTTGTGGTCTCTTAAAATTAGATACATGGATTTAGTTGGAAATTGATACAAACATACAAACAGTCGTTAAAAAAAAGATGTGCAGAAATGCTTGTGTAGTTATTGAACTGCCAAGGGTAATTTATTAGTCTTTCTTAATTGCTCAGTATATGATGATGAATAACTTTTCACTAAATAGCATTCTATTGCTATAAAGCATGCATTTGAACAATAGCTATCAGTATTTTATCAATTATATCAATATAAAATTTGCTTGCTTTTTGTTAAGAATAAATTGGCCCAATGGGCTACTTGTACTGTACCTACTCTGCCCACCTCTCATTAACATCGCCGATTTCTGTGCATTTCATAAATTTTATATGTTGCCTGGCATCCCTCAGTTTCAGCACATTTCCTGTTCAGATGCTTACCTACAAAAACGTCTGATTTCTTTACACACTTCCTTTCCCTATTTTTCTGTCTCCCTATTGATGGTTATTTTTTGTCCAGTTTTATTTCTATTTTGTTATTCACTCAGATCTTGTTTTCTCTTTTCCACTGAAGCCCCCCCCCCCTAGAAACCGGGTTTCGATACCCGTGGTGGACACAGCAGAGATAGCCCATTGAGTAGTTTTGTGCTTAACTACAAACATACAAATAAACTCTTTTCCTCAGTCTCCTGTCCTGCTTCTTGTAACGCCTCTTTGCACTTACTAATTGGTTCTTATTACCCTTGTTCACAAACTCTTTTTTTTTATGAATATTTCAAATCGGCTTTTAGTTTCCATCACTAAGTTTATGCTTATGTTGTTGTATGTAAATTGTTCTAAGTCCTAGTTTGCCCTGCGCATGGCCTCTTCGTTCGGCTTCTTCAGTTTAAATCTTACTTGTCCCATATTTGGATTGTGATCACAGCAACAATATATTGTAAAAGAGTTAATAAAATGTTCTAAAAAGCAGTAAATCAATAATTCTTTAAATCTTTGGATATTTAAAAATTATTTACAAAATTATTAACTGGTCTAAAATCATAATAATTAAAATATTTATTTTGTTAAAATTAGTAATGTCACAAAATAGTGATTTCACAGCTAATAGTCTATTTACCTGTTTTACTCAAACAGCGATTGGCACGTGGAGGTACTAGATATCTGGATCAACCATTACAATGTCAGGTCAGGATGCATTGTTGTTCCCGCGTCGATAAAAATGATCGAATGGAATTCCTTGCTGCTGGTGCAAATTGTCCTCAGTGGTTTGAGAACTCACGTGATTTAAGAAAAAAGGTAGCCGCCATATTGATTTCCCTGTTGGTGGGCTGGACTGCACCATAGCTTGAGTTCATGTTTGATGTACAGTTCCGTTTTAAAGAGTTAAAAAGTGTAAATACAATTAAGATAAAATTTACCTTATTTCAAATTAAAGCGTACTTTTTACTTAAACAGTGGCAAAGCGTAATATTAAGTTATTTATATTTTTTCGAACTAGCGAGAGCATATAACTATTAGTATTACTTAAGAAATTGAAAGACTAGGGGTATCGGTTGATTTATTTTTTGGAAGTAAAAAATCATATGCCTAAAACGTTTGGTAAGGGAAAATTACGTACCGAAAGGGTCCGAGATCAACGGTGGCGTCCGGCGTGAAAAAAGCCTTACAGTTTGTACACAGTGGCTCCTACGTTGGCATTTGAAATGCCTGTTCGTAGACAAGGTGGTAAGATCATTTCATTTTGAGCGTTAAAATTAGTTTTGGTAAGGTGTATTTTGTAGCTCTTTTATGATATGCTGTTATCAAAGTAGGCCTACTGACAATGACGTCAGTGGCACTTGCAAGTCACCGTGTTACACTGACAGTATTTCTACTATAGTCTAAATCATTAAATTTCTGAATTGTACTTGTAGTTAGGACTAATAGATAGTATGCAATGTATATTTGTACTAGTATACAGTGAAAAACAACGAAACGAGTGTAATATTTTAAAGTATGTTTAATATTATGACTAATATTAATATAGCTTATTAATCTAATTACTCGCAATCATACAAATAGTACTAGTGTAGTAGTAGCGCTAGCAGTAAGTTTGTTGACAATAACAGTTAGTGAGTTATACATATTCAGTAGAGTATATGTAATGTTTTATTAATATTATATTATTAACAAATGGTTCAAATACATGAAGATGAAACTTGTTCGAAAGGTTAGTGATACTGACAGAGAAAAAATTAAAAGTTATCACAGTAATCATTGTATGTGTACATAAATTACGTTGTACTTATAACAGTAGGTGTCATAGTTGTATTTTTATGAATTTTACTTATGCTGGTCATGTTTCTCCAGTGGTTTTTAACTGCTCACATATTAACATATTACACTTACAAGCTGTAGTCATGATTATCATTTCATCAAGAAAATTTTGACAACTTGACATTTCTGTCATATTATCAGTGTTCTCATAAACACGTTTTTTACTCAGTATTTAATTTGCTCTATAGTTACAATGAGCATCTCATGTCTTAATAAGTGATATTGAACAGAATACTCATAATTTATTCCATGCATTTGAAAATAATAAAATACATTAAACAAATAAAAAAACATACATTAAATGCAGTCTTATTGCAGTAATGTGAATTTTCAATGAATATTTATAATGAAATTAATTTTATATTTGGAAATGTAAATACACTAGTGATCATAAATATAATTTAAATATTGCTTTAACACCGTATCTACTAGGTGTTGGCTTAGGGTAAATAAAGAAAATAAGTGAATTATATTTTAAACAATAATATTTAACAGTTGATAGATAGTTTAATTTTAAATACTTTGGTTGTGTTCTTTGGTTAGGTTTGTTGGAGATCCATATAAGAAGAAAAGAAGCATATTATGTAATTCATTTTTATTATTTATGTGATTTAATAAAAGCTACATGTATATGCATATCACAGATACTTTGTAGGCATTATATGCATAGAATGTGTAAATGATTTGCTGAATGCATGACATGATTCTTGATTTATTTTGTAGAGGCTCATAGAGCTTTGGAGCTGTTAGAAGAATATCATTCCAAATTAATTAAACCTGAAGATAAACAGCTGAGGTATGCTATTGAACGAGTTATCAGAATCTTTAAAAGTCGACTTTTTCTGGCTTTATTAGGTAAGGAACTCCTGTGGATGTTTATATGATATCTTTTTTAAATAAAGATTTAAGTGAGATCGTTTAAACTCGAAAGATGCAATAATTTAGGTCATATACGTGAGATGAATATGTATTAATGATTCTGTGATAAGATTGAGGGTTACTTCTAGAATATTTAGAATAAACATGGAGTAGAAATTAAAAAATATAATATGAAACAGTTTGGCTTTTGTTGTTAAATAATAAAAAATGCCAGATTTCTTGTTATTATTGTGATATTTAATAAGATGCATGAATAGTAATATAAATTACAAAATCCTTTGAGATTTTGTGATTTACCCAAAACACTATAGTAGAGAGAAACCCAGAAAAGTAAACAGAAATAGGTTGAAAGAATCATTGTTATAAACTAAAGAGTACTATAAAACTATGCAAATCTTAGCACAGGTTAATATCTTTAACTTTGTGATGTTTTGTTGACTACAAGAGCAACATAAGAGAAGATTTAAGAAAGGTGTGTGGCCTATGAATAATACTGGTGAGAATGTTTTAATGGAGGAACATTTTTAGGTAGAAGTCTTTTTATCAAGTGGTTATTGTGTTTATTGGTGACTTTTTATGGATTTAGTAAGTTGAAATTTCTCAACTTTGATTTTTAGTGAAAGAGACTGGGGTAATGAAAAGTATTTGAAACTTCAAAAAGTGTAAGTTCCTGGAACAGATGAAAGTTTTATCCTAAACTGTTTAAGAAGCTGATAGGAGGTATAATGATTATCTTTGAGAAATCTTCTTGATAGTGAGGAAGTTACTTAAAGATTGGTAAAGTTTATTCTGTCTTTTAAAAGAATGAGTTATTAGAGGATGTGGAAAAATGAATGCATGGTGTTGGTGAGTTGGTGGAATCTATGGTGAGGGATCATCTTCTAAACTGGATGTGAGAAATACTGTATAACCCTTGTGGTTTTAGAAGGAGGTTTTGTAGCCTTATCAGCCTCTTATCATTTGATAAAACTTGATTTTTTTAAAAATTAGATTATTCCTGTTGATGTAGTTCAGTGCAATGATAACTAAAGCAACAAGGATATTGAAAATAGAATATTTAGAGCATTACAAATTAAGTAATAGTTTTAAAGATAAGACTGTCAGATTTAAAGACAAGCATATTGATTTCAAGAATAATCCAGTCTGTAACACCCTGAACTTTTGGTTTGTTTTGAGAAATGTTATTACAAGAAAAAGGATTCAAGCCAGCCAAGCACTACTCAGAACATATCTCACTCAGATGGAGCAGTAACAGACACTGAAATAGTCATGGGACAATTAAACCAAGAAAAATGTAGAGGAGATATTGTCACTAAAAAACATTAAAGATATTAAGATGGTCCAAGTGGTTGGCAGTTAGTTAAACACAATGAAGATTGGCAGCAAGATGTGGAGGGAAAAGCTAAGGCTAGTAAACATAGGCAAAGTCGTGGAATGTATATACTGATCGTAGAAATGGATGTCAATCAGAAAAGATGTGACTGCATGGGCAGGAGCTATATGGAAAAATGGGCATCTAGTGTTTGAATGGTCAGTAGCAAACACTGGGCTATACAGTTCATTAAGGAAAAAATGTGAAACATACAAGAATGCACTTATGTGGTGGATAACCAGTAACAGTTAAGATAATGACATATGTCTGACACACACTCCATAAACATCACAAAATTGGAGACAGGTTTTGGCTGAAGAATATGGGTAAAACCTTTTCGAGACTTGAAGGCTCAGCTGTAATGATATATTCCAAGCGAAAGCAGCATATCATTTATTGAGAAAGTGGTAATGTGCAGCCCTTGGATGACCTGGTAAGATCTCTGATGTTTTCAGTGATATATTGTATAGACTGATGGAACAGGAAAAGATAGAAAAGAGACCATACTGGTAAATAAATTGGAAAACTGGATAAATAAAGGTGCAAGTATGGAATTGGAGTGAGTGCAAAAGTATGTTTGAAGGAGAAGTTGCTTAAACCAAATTAAATTGGGCATTATAACAAGAAGAACCTTGAGGAGAGCCTGTATAAAGGCTAGTGCCAAACTCCATAAAGATTTAAAATAGTTGTAGAAGTAATATTAAAATCATTTTATTTACATTTGGCACTTGATATTAAAAATAAAATAATCATAATAATACAATTTATGCACAATAATAATGTATAAAGTGAAAGTGTTTGTTGCTACTTGGTTGTCTCCCTCTGGTTCAGAATTACGGATAGTGTAGTGCTGCCTGAAAAATGTGCTGTAACGGGACTATACAATTGGTTGGAGGAGAGGCTGTGCTTTAGCCAGTGCTAAGCTCTTCTATCACTTAGATAAATAAATTAGTAGGTCTGTTTGTTAACTGTTAAGATATTAATGTCTGAGAAGATGGCAAAATGAAAATAAAGTTTCAGAGCTGATTACTGTTAAACAGAATTCCTAAATTCACTGTCTTCAAAACAATTATATTAAATTAGAAATATAACAAGTATTTGGCTTGCTTAGATAAGACTTTTTAGCTTTGATTCTAAATGACTGTAATTAAGAATATAAATGTTCTTAATTTATTTTAAATATTCTAATCAATTTTGTTATTTTGAGAGTACAATAGTTAACTTGGATTAATTGTCTTAGCTTGTGCATGCTATACTAAGCTTGTGTTCATTTTCCTTGTTACTACAGTGTCAAGCAGTGATTAGCACTCTTATTCTTCTTTAAAAGCACAATATCCTCTTATTTACCTTGGGAACTTACTTGGTGTAAAAAGTAATACATAATAAATAATTAGATAAAGAAAAATAATTAATAAATAACTGCTAACCATTGCCTCCCTTTGGCTGGTGGTACGACCCTGGGGGCTGGCACCATGTTACTTGGAATGCTGTGCTTTGGCTGGTGTTAAAAAATCTTCTAGTCTATAACCTGTAACCATAACCAAGAATAAGCTTAGTTGTTAGAAGTGTTAGGAATAAAATGGATGAATGCAGTGCTTTAAATGGATGACTATGATATAATAGGACTTACTGAATCTTGGATAGGCTTGGAGAACATTTCAAATATATTTTGATATTCCAGGTTATAAGTTATATAATAATGATAGACTTTGTTTAAAAAGGAGGTGGGTGGGGTGGCTCTTTATGTAAGGGATAAATTTCAACTTCTTGAGATTGAATATTTATGGGCTGAAATTAGGGGTTTCAAGGATAGAAAAGTTTTAATTGGCAGTTGTTGTAAACCACATGATGAGACAGATGAGATCCATGGGAAATTGTATATTGTAATCAGGGATCTTACCAATAAGATTAGTTATAAAATAATTATAGGATAATTTGTTTTAGGCATATTGATTGGGATTGTATGGAGACAATTAGTGAAGTTGAAATATTTTTTGAAGTGATGCAGGATGGTTTTGTATATAAAATGGTCAGGAAAGATAACACCATTTTAGATTTATTGTTAACTACTAATGAGGATATGGTTATGAAAGTTGAAGTGGGAGAGAACATTTGAAAAAGAATGATCATTGTATGTTTAGGTTTGTCGATTTGTTACATGTTGCAATGAGAAATGAAATTTCAGCTCCTGATTTTGAGGCCATGAAACAAGATATATTATTAGTGTATTGGAATAATGAGTTAAAAGATATGAGAAATAGCTAGCCAATAATATGAAAACTAACAGCACAGATTTTTAAATATATTAAAGGTAAGAAAAATGGGTCATTAGGGGATGTGGGTGACAAGGTTTTTATTGAAGAATATGAGATGATTTAGCTTTCAAGTGTTTTCTGTTTTTACAAGAGAAGATACTAATAATATTTCTGAACCTGAGCATTCTATGGGAAATGTTGGAATTAACCTGCAACTTGTAGATTTTAATCTCTTGGTGGTAAGTAGAAAGACTGAGAAATTAAAAGGTGATAAAGTATCAGGAACAAACAAGATTTTTCCAAGGGTTTTAAAGGGGAACTCTGCTCTTGATATATTTTACTGTATATGAAAATGTTATGCCTGCTTTATTATGTTGTTTTTTGGCAAATGATTTGGTTTCTGTATTTTTATTTGAAGAGTAGCCTTAATGTGAAAGGGTAGCATTTACATGACTTGGTGTTTGTGTACTAAGGGAATCTTAATGATCCAAAAGCTTTCTGTCACCAGGAGTCTTTTGTCAGTGTTTCAGTAACAAAATTTGACTTAATAAAACCAAACAGAATCTGCACTAGCATTTTATGTAGCAGTATTTATTTCTACTGTAAAATACATGTACTTTGAAAGGATGTGTTTACTGATATATAGAATTACTGATGCTGTGAGACTATTCGTGGGCTAGCTCTGTGATATCCATATAAAATTATTTGTGTAATGAAACTGCAGTAAGAAAATACTACAACATAATAGAACAAATAGTGCATGTTATGAATACTATGTTTTGTTAGTTAAACTTTTCATTTAATGCAATTTTGGTTCACAGAAGTTTAAAAAGTTTAGTTCTTTGTGCTTTTGCAGTGTATTTTACAAGCCTTGTATTCTTCCCTTCTCTGATGGGGTGAATAAATTTTCAAAGAATTAAAATGAATTTTGTAAGATTTGGAAAGGTTTTCGTGTGACAGTAAACTGAAAAATTAAGATGTTGGGTTGTAAATCTGAATTATTGTTTTACAGTCAGAACAAGCAACTGCTGTTACAAGTAGTAATTTGTTTGTTCTATTTAATGGTTTATGACAACTTTTAATTTTTTTTTGGGGGGGGGAGTATTAATTCTGAATACAAAAGAAATTCAACTTTCATTAACTGATATTTTAGAATTAGGAGAGATGAAAAACTTTGTAAAAGTTATTATTTATAGATTGAGGTTAAAATTTTTATTCAACAACACTGTTTTTTGAAGATGTTTACTGTAGAAGAATATAACACATTGCACATTTATTACAGACATTTCCCAATTATTCTTAAGGTTGTGTGACCTTAAGTATTCCATATATTTTTGTAATATTATCAA